CACGGCCTGGAAATCATCAGGTGCTGGTTTCCGCGGAGGTGGTGGGCGAAGTCGGTCTGGGGCGCGATCTCCCAGTAGCCGCCTGAACATATCCCGTACTTCCTCGAGTGCCCGCATATGTCGAAGCTCCAGCCGTACTCGCTCTTCATGTGGTGCTTGCCGCAGTCGATGGATGAAAGCATCACGCCTTGCAATGGTTTGTCGCCATGCGCTCGCACAAATTTCATCAATGATCTGCTGCAGCGTCCTGCCAAGGAACAACCTGAAGAGGAGGCGCCGTAAATAATGGTTGCCGCCTTGATTGAACATCTCTGTGACGAACGCAGCACACCACTCCTGCCACGGCCCACTGTTTCTTGCCAGACACGTGTGATCTTCGAACCGCAACGCCGCCCAGTCTCTGAGGTCCGCTCGCATGTCCGCGTAGTCCTCGACGGCTCGGTCATCAACAAGCCCAGGAGGAGGAAGTCCCATGCCCGTCGGTGCGCTTTCGCCTGCCGCCGCCTTGGTGGATCTCCTGCGTCTAGCAGTGGCGACGGAGCCTGGAAGAGGCTGCACGGCAGCATCCAGGACTTGCGGAGGAGCAGGAGGAGGAGGAGGAGGAGGAGGAGGAGGAGGAGGAGGACGACGACGACGACGACGACGACGAGCGGCGCGAGCGGCGACGAGCCCTGCAGCCCTGGCGCAAGCGGCTGCACGCAAGAGTGCCCCTGGGCAAGAGCGACCTCTGGTACGCGGCTGTGGCATTGACTCGCGTAGTTGAAGTCCCAGGCATAGCGTTCTCGCACGATTCGGGATCATCAGGACGCACGAGTGCAGTAACGTTGATTCGCGGCGTTGAAGTCCCAGGAAGTGTGTTCTGGCACGTTGCAGGATATTCAAACGGTTGTCTTCCAACGGGGCACTTGCTTCAGTGAACATGAAGCCTTGAAGGGACCTATGAAGAGGGAACTTTGAGGAAGGGCTTATTGCAACTTCGTTGATGAGTCCTGGGTTTACACTGGTCGCCCTCCTCCCTCCCCCTCGCTCCCCGGAGCTTCCATAACACCCTCCTCCTCCTCCTCCTCCTCCTCTCCTCCGCCTCCTCCTCCTCCTCCTCCTCCTCCTCCTCCTCCGTCTCCGTCCTCCCTCCTCCCCTCCTCTCCCTCCACCGTCTCTCTTCCTCCTCTCCCCCTCTCCCTCCTCCTCCTCCTCCTCTCCTCCTCCTCACCTCCCCCTCCTCCTCCTCCTCCTCCTCTTCCTCCTCCTCCGCCTCCTCCTACCTTCTCCTCCTCCTTCTCCTCCCATTTCCTCCTCTCCAATTCCTCCTCCTCCCCTTACTCCTCCTCCTCCTCCTCATCCTCCTCCTCCTCCTCCTCCAGTCCTTTTCCTGATCCATAACTCCTCCCTGTCGCACCCCGAGACTGGTCGGAGACTTCCTCATCTCTTATGGCTCTGAAGCTGCGACATTCACAACTGTTTCACGGATGGAGGGCTGGTGCTTTTAAAAGTGTGGCTCTCGCGTTAGCGCCGCGCACATTCGTATTGAACATGTTGCAAGAGTTTCACGGATTGAGGGCGGGGAATTTGCAAAGTGTGGCTTTCGCCTTAGAGCCGCGCGCGCTCATTTTTAACATGTGCAAGAGTTTCACGGATTGAGGGCGGGCCGTTTTCAAAATGTGGCTCTCGCCTGAGCGCCGCGCACATTCGTCATACAATTGTGCAACCGCTTCACGGTTTGAGGGCGGTTCCTTTTCAAAATGTGGCTCTCGCCCTGGCGCCGCGCACATTCATGTTAACAAGTTGCAAGATATTCGCAGATTCTCATGGCTCACTTTCTGGAAACGGTGTTTTCGAACGAGTCAGGATTGCCAGGTCACAGTTACGTTGATTCGCGGAGTTGGAATCCGAGGATTGGTGTCCTGGCACGATTCGGGATCATCAAGACGCAATAAAGTTAACTCGTGGCGTTGAAGCCCCAGGAAGTGTGTTATGGCACGTTTCAGGATATTCAAACGGTTGTCTTCCAAGGGGGCACTTGTTTCAGTGAAAACGAAGCCTTGAAGGGACCTATGAAGATGGAACTTTGAGGAAGGGCTTCTTGCAAAGTCGTTGGTGAGTCATAGGTTTACGCTGGTCTCCCTCCTACTCCCCCTCGCTCCCCAGAGCTTCCATAACATCCTCCTCCTCCTCCTCCTCCTCCTCCTCCTCCCGGTCTTCCTCCTCCTCCCTTTTTTTTCTCGCCCCCGGGAGCGTCCAGAAACTCCTCCTCCTCCACCTTCTCGCTATCCCTCCTCCCCCTCCCTCCTCCATCCAACCTCGTCCTCCTCCTCCTCTTCCTTCTCCTCCTCCTCCTCCTCCTCCTCCTCCTCCTCCTCCTCCTCCCATTCCTCTCCCTCCTCCTCCCATTCCTCCTCCTCCTCCTCCTCCACTTCCTCGTCCTCGTCCTCGTCCTCGTTCTCGTCCTCCTCCTCCTCCTTCTCCTCCTTCTCCTCCTCCTCCTCCTCCTCCTCCTCCTCTGGTTCCTCTCCGTCGAGAACGAACGGGCGCCCCGGCGGGGCTGCGCCGTGCCTCCGTCGCGGCCGCCTCGCTCTTGCCGAGGGAGTCCGCCGCCTGGCAGAAGAACGGAAGGGGGCAATCTCCGACCGTCGTCGCTGCCGCCTCCCCCCCCCTTCGGGCGCGGCCTAACCGACCCCTAGCAAACCATCCCCTTCCGTCATGTCCCCCTCTCCGCACAAGCTTCCCTCTGGCCGCACACGTGCGTCTCGGGGCGAGGCGAGGGGGACGCCACGGAAAGGCGTGGTTTGCTATGGCTCGATCAGGCCGCCCCTTGACCCCGTCTCCTGCTTCGCACAGACACTCACACAACCATGTGTGGATCTGTGCCTGCCTTCTCTGTCCCTCTCTCCCTCTCTTTCCTCAGTTGTCCATGGCTCTCTCCCTCGCTCTCTCTCTCTCTCTCTACGTCTCTCCCTCCCTCCTGAGTTGCCCATGGCTCTCTCTCTCTCTATGTCTCTCTCTCTCTCTCTACGTCTCTCTCTCTCTCTCTCTCTCGTTCCCGGGGCACCGCCTGCGCACCCGGACGCAGCGCGGGGCCGACGGGGGAGGGCGCCCCGGGCCCCCGCGCGCCGCGAGCGCCCCGCACGCAGCCGCGGGGCCGAAGGCCGGCGCACGCGGCGGGCAAAGGCGCAGAGGCTTTGTCCGGAGGCGCGCCGCGCGGCAGCGCCCGGCAGGGGCGCCTGCCCCGCGGGGCACGCGCGCAGACACGAAGGGGCCCTGGGACACACACACACACACACACACACACACACACACACACACACACACACACACACATATATATATATATATCGCCCTCCCCGTCACGTAATATATATGTATGTATAGTTGTATATATACAATAGTTATATATATATATATATTATAATATATATCCTCCACCTCCTCCTCCGCCTGCCTCCTCCTCCGCCTCCTCCTCCTCCTCCTCCGCCTCCTCCTCCTCCCCCTCCTCCTCCTCCTCCTCCGCCTCCCCTCCTCCTCCTCCTCCTCCTCCTCCTCCTCCCCTCCCCCTCCCCCCCTCCCCCTCCTCATCCTCCTCCTCCTCCTCCTCCTCCTTCCTCCTCCTCCTCCTCCTCCTCCTCCTCCCCTCCTCCTCCTCCTCCTCCTCCTCCTCCTCCTCCATCCCCCCCTCCCCCTCCTCCCCCGATAGAAAAATGTTTTTTAACCGTCCGGACTGGACCCTTCACCGGCCAGATGGGACCCTTCATCGGCGGCTGACCGTGCTGCTGCTCAGCTGCCCGGGCTTCCCGTCTACTTCGCCTCGCCGTGGCGCACTGCTGTTTGGACGCAGAACTCTGTGCACACCCGCTAGCGAACCTACCGAAACCTATGGGTTACTAGCGAATCCTACCGAAACCTATGGATTCCTAGCGAATCCGACCGAAACCTATGGGTTCCTAGCGAATCGTACCGAAACCTATGGATTCCTGGCGAATCCTACCGAAACCTATGGGTTACTAGCGAATCCTACCGAAACCTATGGATTCCTAGCGAATCCGACCGAAACCTATGGGTTCCTAGCGAATCGTACCGAAACCTATGGATTCCTAGCGAATCCTACCGAAACCTATGGGTTACTAGCGATTCCTACCGAAACCTATGGATTCCTAGCGAATCGTACCGAAACCTATGGATTCCTAGCGAATCCTACCGAAACCTATGGGTTACTAGCGAATCCTACCGAAACCTTTGGATTCCTAGCGAATCCTACCGAAACCTATGAGTTCCTAGCGAATCCTACCGAAACCTATGGATTCCTGGCGAATCGTTCCGGATCCTAACGAAATGAGCCCCGATGCCTCGGAGAACGTGGGAACCCCAGGGGGCTCGAGATAAACCCCAATGACTCGGAGAACGTGGGAGCCCCAGGGTGGCTCGAGATGAGTCCCGATCCCTGGGAAAACTTAGGAGTCCCCTGGGGCCTCGACAAGAGCCCCGATCCCCGGGAGAACGTAGGAGTCCCAAGACAGACTCTGTAGGACTCGATCCGTCCCCCCGGACGCTCGATATGAGCTCCGATCTCTGGGAAAACGTGGGCGCCCCAGGGAGGTTCGAGATGAGCCCTGATGCCTGAAAAAAGCGTAGGAGCCCCAAGAAGGCTCGAGGTGAGCCCCGATCCCTGGGAAAACCTGGGAGCCCTAGGGAGGTTCGAGATGAAAACCGATCCATGGGAAGATGTTGGAACCCCATGGAAACTCGAGAAACGCCCCAACCTCTGGGGAAACGTGGGGGCCCCAAGGGGGCTCGGCTTCTTCATCATCATCATCATCATCATCATCATCATCATCATCATCATCATCATCATCATCATCATCATCATCATCATCATCATCATCATAATCATCATCAGCATCATCATCATCACCCTCATCATCATCACCATCGTCATCGTCATCATCATCGTCATCATCACCACCATCACCATCACCATCATCGTCATCATCATCATCCCCATCTTCATCGTCATCGTCATCATCATCGTAATCGCCATAGTCGCCATACGCATCATGATCATCGTCGTCGTCGTCATCATCACCATCGTGATCTTCGTCATCACCACCAGAACAATCATCATCATCGTCGTCGTCATCGGCATCATCATGGTCATCGTCACCAGCATCGTCATCATCACCATCGTCGTCATGGTCATCGTCATCATACTGGATCATCATCGTCATCACCATGTCGATCACACTTCGCCCGCCTCGAAGCTTCCCCTGCTCCTGATCATCTTGTTATGCTGATGATCCCCTTCCTCCTTTCCCTTTTCCTCTTCATCGCTATCGTCGTCGTCACCACCGCCACCACAATCACCATAGTTTTCATGTCCTCAGCCAACACAATGTTGAGGAATGCGTCACATGTTACGGGTGTCCCCAGCCTCGGGACACGACATCTCGCCCGTTACGGCGCCGCATCGAACAGTCGCCACCCAAGGTGTTGAAATGGCGCGACGGCGGGAATTGCCGCAGGCAACTGCGCGGCATGGAACAACATCCCATTCCATCACAGAGAAGGCAAAACAGCCACGTGCCAAAGTTTACCCATCCAGTGTGCCTGTTGAAATATGGTGATGTACATGTATCGCATGCTTTCATGAGGTACCCTTTGGCATGATACCTTACCCTTGGGGAGAATTCCACGGACCTCCGCTCCGTATCCTTCCTACTATTTCCTGCTGCTACGCATCCTCTTCCTCCTCCTCCTCCTCCCACCATGCATGCCACGTTGGTATGCGACCAGAATTGGTCTCTTCACCGGCCTCCGAAAAACAACAAAAAACAATAAATTGCAGAAGCGGTTGTGGCAACCCTTAGCACTCCACACTCGTTCTTGGTGGCGTACACGCGAACACTACAAACAACTTTCAATTGAAAGACGTAGCCGGTGAAACACCCAATCAGCCGGTGAACGGATCAGGTGAAGGGTCCCACTTGGCCGGTGAAGAGACCAATAGCCTCCTCCCCCTCCTCCCCCTCCTCTCCTCTCTCCTCCTCTTTCCTCCCTCCTCGCCTCCTCCTCCTCCCTCCTCCTACCGCCTCCCCCTCCCTCCTCCTTCCCCCTCATCCCCCTCCTCCCCTCCCCTCCCCCTCCTCCTCCTTCCTCCTCCCTCCCATCCTCCTCCCTTCTCCTCCTCCTCCTCCTACTCCTCCTCCTCCTCCTCCTCTCCTCCTCCTCCTCCTCCTCCTCACTACTCCTCCTCCTCCTCCTCCTCCTCCTCCTCCTCCCCCGCGGGCACTCGCGCAGACATGAAGGGGCCCTGGGACACACAAATAGATACACACACACACATAACCGGATTCCCCGCATTTTCGCCAGTAGTCTCTGGGCTTTTGTCTTCCCCCCCGACTTCCCACATGTTCCCATACTTTCTGGGGGGTCGACGATTCATTGTGCCTGTGTGTCTCTGTTCCTCTCCGGCAAACGGAGGGCAAGTGGACGAGCGCGTTCCACGACTCGCAGAGTAGCTGCTCGCAAATAGCCTGGGCCTGGATGCCCCGCGGGGGATCTGCGACACATTGCATCAGAGCAGGCAAGTGTTTTTTTCGGACGTTTGCGAGCAGGCACCCTGCGAGCAGTGGAGCGAGCTCGCCGAGCAGGAGTGGCCTCTCCACCGCGGGAGGAAGCGAGCAGGGCAGGGCCGTGCAGCAAACGCCCAGGGCCAGTACACGCCAATCATCGGGTCCGGGTGGTCTTGCCTCCCTTGGGTTAGGTCGTTGGGCGCCCGAGTTATCCGGGGTAACTCGGGTCCGGGGTAACTCGGGTTTGGATTCCCGAAAAAGGAACCCGAGTTAGCCCTGACCCGAGTTACCCCTGATGATGTGGGGCTCTGAGGTCGGGCCTGTTCCCCTACAGGGGGGTCCTGGGCGAAAAATATGAAATACTCCAAAAAGGCCCCCAAGTGGTCAAAAAATGATCGAAAAATAGTCCCCAGACTATTTTTTGACTATTTTCGAATATTCCTCCTGTAGAGGGACAGGCCCGACTTAACCCTCAGGCAAAAGGCGCAATGCCCGCCCCCCGTCGTGGACTCTGGGCGACGAGCGGCAGACCAGGGGAAGCGCACCCCAGTGGCCGGCCCCACGGTGAAAGGCAGGCCCCCAGCCACGCCAAGGAGTCCGCGGGGGAGGGAGAGAAGGGGGAAGAGAGGGGGGGGGGGGAAGGGGTAAGAGAGAGGGGGGGAGGCCGCGAGAGGCGAGACGGGAGGGGAGAGAGGGCAGCTCGGCATGGCTGGGGGGGGGGGCCCTCTCTCTCTCTCTCTCTCTCCTTCTCCCTTTCACCTTCCAAGTTCTTCCCCGCCTCTTTCCCCTTCGATGACCCTCCTTTCGCCCCCCGTGCCCCTCTCCGAGCCCCGCCCCCACTCCCCGTTTCTCTTCCTCCGCCCATGCATACATCTTCTCTTCTCCCATGGGCCTCCTGCCCCGTCCTCCAATCCTCCTCCTCAACATCACCACAACCATCACCGGCATCATGAACATGCTCGTCCCCGCTACAATGACCACCGCCGCCACCACCAACACCACCACTACCACCACCAGCACCATCATCTTCATCACCATCACCACCACCATCATCATGATCATGATCATGATCATCATCATCATCATCATCATCATCATCATCATCATCATCATCATCATCATCATCATCATCATCGTCATCATCTTCATCAGCAGCAGAAGCATCATCATCATGATCAGCATCATCATCATCATCATCATCATCATCATCATCATCATCATCATCATCATCATCATCATCATCATCATCATCATCATCATCATCATCTTCATCTTCGTCATCGTCATCATCACCATCGTCAACAGCACAGGCAGAAGCAGCAGCAGCGGCATCAGCATGAGCACCAGCATCAGCACCACCACCATCAGCATCGTCATCATCGTCATCATCGCCATCCTCATCATCATCAGCAGCAGCAGCATCGTCATCATGACCGTCATCGTCATCGTCATCATCATGATCATCTTCATCTTCATCATCATCATCATCATCATCATCATCATCATCATCATCATCATCATCATCATCATCATCATCGTCATCTTCGTCGTCATCAGCATCATCGACATCGTCGTCATCATCATCACCGTCATCATCGTGATCATCATCAGCACCATCATCAAGATCATCATCATCGTCATCGACGTAATTATCACCATCATCAGCAGCATCATCATCATCGTCATCATCGCCATCCTCATTATCGTCACCATCACCATCACCATCATCGTCGTGGGATGATCACCACCATAGTCGCATCAACTTGACGAAGTATTCCTACCTCCCTTGCTCTTCGTTCCCCCTTGCCCCCTGCCTCCCCCCTTCTGCCTCCCTCCTCCTCCTCCTCCTCCTCCTCGTCCTCCTCCTCTTCCCTCCTCCTCCACCATCACCATTATCATGATCAGAATCATCATCATCATCATCATCATCATCATCATCATCATCATCATCATCATCATCATCAACAGCATCACCGTCGTCATCATCATCAACATCGCCGTTAGCATCATCAACATCATCACCATCGTCATCATCACCGTCAGAATCAGCATCATCATCGTCATCATCTTCATCATCGACATCAGTAGCACCATCAGCATCATCATCATCATCATCATCATCATCATCATCATCATCATCGTCATCGTCATCGTCATCGTCATCGTCATCGTCATCGTCATCATCATCATCATCATCATCATCATCATCATCATCATCATCATCATCATCATCATCATCATCATCACCATCGTCACCATCACCATCACCACCACCATCGTCAGCAGCAGCATCACCGTCATCATCGTCATCATCTTCATCAGCAGCAACATCATCATCATCATCATCACCACCACCACCACCATCATCATCATCATCAACATCATCAACATGAGCATCAGCATCATCATCACCGACATCATCGACATCATCATCATCACCAACACCATCACCATCATCGTCGTGTGATTGTCACCACCATAGTCCCATCCATTCGACGAAGCATTCCTACCTCCTTTGCTCTTCGTTCCCCCTCGCCCCCCGCCTCCCTCCTTCTGCCTCCTTCCTCCTCCTCCTCCTTCTCCTCCTCCTCCTCGTCCTCCTCCTCCGACCTGCTCCACGTTTCCCCCTGCCTCCTCCTCCCCCTGCTCCTCCGCATATTCCTCCTCCTGCTGATGTTGGTTTGGGGGCCGTCACGCGGCGCAGCCATCCCCCCCCCCTCCTAGCGACGGTCGCATCTGGGGGGCTGGTCAGATCAGGCGATCTGTAACGAGCAACGACTCGACAGCAAAAAAAAAAAACTGCAGGAGGCGAGGTAGACCTCTGCGGCCCCCCGGCGCGGCTGCAGGCCGAGCAGCGGTGGCGTTCACGCCCTAACTCCCCAGACATCCGACGCCTCGATTTTGTTCAAGACACGGGCCCCCGACATCCCGACCACTTCCCCGGGACCGGTTTTTCATCCCGAGTCGATTTTTGACGGTCCTGAGGCCCGGCGAGGGCCCCGATGGGGCCGAAAACAACGAAAACCCTCCGTCTCGATTTTTGTCGAGACGCCCGATGTCTGGGTCATGTGTGCCCTCTGGGAGGTCTTGAATGCTCCCCCCCCGAGGCGCCACTCATACAACATGCCAGCCCCGTCCACACGGCGCCGCCGTGCCACGGCCGCGCGCCAAGGAACGAGGCGAGGGGCAAAGCCCAGTAAGCGGGCGGCGGCGGCGGATCCCCCGGCCAGCCACAGCTGGGGGAGCCGTGGCCCTCACCCCCCTGGGGGAGCCCATCGCATCGACGACCTCTCGAGAGGGGTGTCGAAATCGATGGGCCCCCCAGGGGGGTAAGGGCCACAGCTCCCCCAGTTGTGGCTGGCCCGATCTCGGGGCAGGAGGGCGGCAGACGAGGAGGACGGCGGCACAGCCTGCTGGCAGGGGGCAGGGGCGTGTTGCAGCCCGCGCGGCCTGGGTCGTCCGTGTCACGACGCATGTTCGGTTCAGTGTGTCACGCTTGCCTCGAAAATGTCGAGGGTGCGAGAACGGAGGGAAGCTGGGAGGAGGACGAACAGCTTCGACAATCTTCCCTTCTCCCTCCTCCTTCCCCAGGGTGCGCGTGTGAGAACCAGGGACAAGCTGGGAGGGAGGACGAAGGAGGATGTCGAGGGTGCGAGAACAAAGGGTGCGAGACCAGCGCGATAAAGAGGGAGGAAGAAAGAGGCCGGGTGCGGCTGCGGGCGGTGGTGTTCTCGCTAGCTGTGGCCCGTGGCCCCGTTGTTTTGCAGGCAACCTTCCAGATGGCGGTACCCCTGCCGTCGCTGGCGGTGACCCCCTTGTTTTGCGTCGCTCACAAGTATCGCGCCTTCCGGATAGATCCGGATAGTTCTCGATGGTGTCGCGTGTACGGCGGCCTCGGGCGCGGGCGCTGCCGCCAGGCGCCATCTGGCCAGGTACCTCGCAAGGCCGTGTGATACCCTGCGGGACCACCCACCCCTTCGGAAGAGGCTGGGCGGAAAGGTCACCCCCGCGAGAGGCAGCGGCTCTCCTCCTCTTCCTCCTCCTCCTCCTCCTCCTCTTCCTCCTCCTCCTCATCTTCCCGCTCCTCCTTCCTCCTCCTCCCCTCCCTCCTCCTCCTCCTCCTCCCCTCCTCCTCCCCCCCTCCTCCTCTCCTCCTCCTCCTCCTCCTCCTCCTCCTCCTTTTCCTCCTCCCCCCCACCACCGCAACTCCACCCTCCACCTCCCCTCCACCTCCTCCTCCTCCTCCTCTCCACCTCCTCCTCCTCCTCCTCCTCCTCCTCCTCCTGCGGCGGCCCCAGGGCGCCCACTGATTGTCGGGACCAATGCAGACAGCATGCTTCGACAGCTCGAGAAGCGGGAAGAGCAGCAACATATGTATGATAAGGACGACGACAGCAACAACATGTAAGCAATGGCAACAAGGTCAACTGACAGTATATACGGGCCCTCCGAAATCGCCAGAATTCACGCGCCCCCCCGCTCGCGAGACCAACCTCTACGCTGCCGACAAACGGGGACGGGAACCTTCCCCCCCATGCACACAACAAAAAACATATACACACAAGCACACGCATGCACATACACACTTAACACAAACGCGTACACATCCAGGCGTCTTGCGTCCCCCCAGGATTCCCCATAATGTCGCAACGAATCCTACATTTCTCCTCTGGGATTCTCAACGGCCTGTCAAATCTACAGCTTGGGTGCGCCAGCCTCCAGTAGACCACCGCCACCCATAATAACCTCCCAAAAAGGCCTTCGCCCTTCATGGCCCCGAGCGGGGGGTTGTAGCACCCCCCCAGGGGGAGGAGCACTGGGTTCGCGGCGTTGGTCTCGCTGGGGGAGAAAGATGTGGCACTACGGGGCTAGGACGAGGAAGCATCTGTTCCAGAGCGTCCCAAAACGCTCTCAGAGCGTCCCTGGACGCTCTGAAAAAGGCCGCGGCGCCCGAGACATCCTCCCAGAGCCGCGGGATCTCAGAGACCTTCGATTTATTTTTGTGAATGCCACGACAATGGACACCTTAACAGCCCGATCATTGAATTTAAAATGTGTTATAATGCTGGAAGAAACATTCCAAACATGTTTCAAACATGTTGTTTTACGTTCTAAATCAGCTCTAACACATGCATCTAGGCATCTGGCAACCATTTGGCAACATGCTTCCTCGCCGTTGATCGCCCTCCACAAAGCTATCCCTAACTGCCCGAATCGATCCTCGTCCCGGCTTCGCTTTGTGTGGGCAGCCGGCGCTGTTCTTTCGTGGGCAGCCAGCTGGCGGACGCGAGCGCGGCTGCAGAGCCGACGGGCCGCGCCGGGCACCGGGCGCTGTCGCTGGAGCGGGTGCGGGCGGCCAGCGCAGCGCCCGACAGCGGCGACGGTGACTCGCCATCGCTCGGACGTCCATTCCCCGTGCATTTTTTCGGTATCGTGCATATCTTTTTGTTGCTCGAGGACTCAGGATGCTCCTCGATGGTCCTCGCCGAGAAAAAACACACACGTCCGAGCGATGCCGAGGTGACGACGGCGGCGGCGACGGCGGCGACAGCGGCGACGGCGACGGCGACGGCGACGGCGACGACGACGTGCAGCGACGACGACGACGACGACGACGACGGCGACGGCAATTGCGGCGGCGGCGGCGGAAACGGCTACGAGGCGCCTCGGGCACCTCCGCGCCCCCCGCCTTGCCGGCGAGAACAGCCCGCCCCTGGGCGGCCGCGTTGGCTTTGGTGGGGGCCGCGTCCTGCGGGCGCCCGCGCCGCGCCGAGGGCGGGCGGGGGACTCCTCCGCCTGGGGCGACCGGATTTGCACGCATCCGCTGCCCGGGTCTGGCCCATCCTGGGCCGTGGAGCGGTCCTCCTCCTTCTTCTTTTTCTTCTGCCTCAGCCGAAATCCCTGGTGGGAGGGATGGCCGCCCTCTCAGCACTCGTTGAACAAGACACTCCGCCAAAACCTTCTCAATGAGACCGTGCATGATTCCAGAGCAAGCAATTCTGCAGTAAAGGAAGACACGGGTGTTGATAAGAAAATACCTCGTCTTGCCAGTAGAACACATTCACCGTCAATTTCAGCTTCAGCTTCGCTTCCTCCTCCTCCTCCTCCTCCTCCTCCTCCTCCTCCTCATCCTCCTCCTTCTCCTCCCCGCCTGTGGCGACTGGATTTGCACACATCCGCTGCTCGGGCCTGGCCCATCCTGGGCCGTGGAGCGGTGTACAATTACAGTCAACCCGTATGGTAAGGATGCGCCGTGAGGATGCACAGGCTCTGGAAGGCCACGCCGACGCTCTCGGGGAGGGGGCGCGGCCAGCGAGAGCGGCCAGGCGTGGGCGCCGAGGAGGCAAGGATGCAGGGGTACCTTGGGAAGGTCGCCCATCCTGACTATGCGGGCTGACTGGATACACATCCGCTGCCCAGGCCTGGCCCATCCTGGGCCGTGGAGCGGTGTACACCCTGCGAAATGCTTAAGAAATCATGGGTTAAGAAATTCATAGTTTCCGAACTTGAATTTAAACCCAACATTTCTATTGAAATCTTAGGATTTACAGTGAAACATTAAGAATAATCGAGACTCTGGCCGAAAACTTAAGTTTTCTTAAGCATCGCCGAAGGTGTACACGCCCTCCCGGCTCGGCCAGGGGATGCATATACACCGCTCCCGGGCCCAGCACGGGCCAGGCCTCGGGCGGCAGACGTGCACAGATGTCGCTGCCGCAGGCCACTGCCCCTCCCCGCCTCCCGCGTGCATCTCCTCGGGAGCCCCGAACCCTTGCGGCGACGGACCGCGTGGTGGCCTCGGAATCTCAGCGACCTCACCACGCGGTGCGCCACCGCACGGCCTCGGGACCTCGGAGGCCCTGGTCGCTCGAGGCATCCTCGGAGAACGACCCCCAAGTCCCAAGACTGCGTGGTGACCCCGAACCCCCACTGACACACCACGTGGTGTGGCCCCCCCGACGTCTGCGGGCCCCCAAACCTCCGTCGCCTCCCCCTCCCTTCTCCCCGGGACGTTGACGCCTGGGATCGGGGACGTGGATCGGGTGTCTAGAAGAAGAGAGCACGTCAGAGACATAAACTGTTGGCGCTCCGCGCGGATTTCTTGGATCTGCGCTGGACCGCTCGAGACATCCTCGGAGACCGACCCCCAAGTCCCAGAACTGCATGGCGACCCCGAGCCCCCACTGACTCACCACGTGGTGTGGCCCCCCCCCGACGTCTGCGGGCCCCCGAACCTCCGTCGCCTCCCCCTCCCTTCTCCCCGGGACGTTGACGCCGGGGACCTGGGACGTGGATACGGCAGGTTCGTGTCGTGCCGATTTCGGCGTTGGTTTCTGACACCGAGGGGATCGTTCAAAGTTGAACGATCGGCCGATTCCGAAACATCAGATCGTTCATCATCGACCGATTCTAGGTCGCCGGCGGCGTTCAACGTTGAATGCCGGCGGCGGGGTCGCCGCTGGTCGACACGACGCAAACCTGCCGTAGGGTGTCTAGAAGAAGAAAGAACGTCAGAGACATAAACTATTGGCGCTCCGCGCGGATTTCTTGGATCTGCGCTGGACCCTCCACCCCGGCGCGCGGAGCGCGCCAGGGGCGGCGCCAGAGGCGCCGCCAGGGGGGGGCCCAGCGCGGATCCAAGAAGTCCGCTCGGAGCGCCAACAGTTTATTTTATGGCAAGCTTTCTTCCTCGAGTGTCGCGCCGAAGTTGAGCAGGGGCCGACCGTCCCGGCATTCCTATAGTCCTACCACGAAATGTTCTTAGAACCCAGAAATGCTCTAACGACAACAGGCAACGTTCTTAGAACATTAACCCGATGTGTTAAGCCAAGACAGTGTCAATCAGAAATGTGCCAAGACCACTTCGTGCAAACCACGAAAGGTTCTTAGAACATGCTCTGGTGGGGCTGCAGGCGAGCCAGGACGCTTCGCCACTGCTTGCAGGGTGGGCCCCACCAGGGGCGCTGGCTCTGCGCAGACCTCTGAAGGGGCCCCAGGACACACAAATAAATACACACAAACAAGAATATCCCCTGATTTTCCCATATTTTCTGGGTTTCTGTCTTCCCCCCAATGCCCATATTTTCCCATATTTTCGATCGAAGATGAATTGTGTCTGTGTCTGTGTCTGTGTCTGTGTCCGTGTCCGTGTCCGTGTCCGTGTCCGTGTGTTGTGTGTTGTGTGTTGTGTGTTGTGTGTTGTGTGTTGTGTGTTGTGTGTTGTGTGTTGTGTGTTGTGTGTTGTGTGTTGTGTGTTGTGTGTTGTGTGTTGTGTGTTGTGTGTTGTGTGTTGTGTGTTGTGTGTTGTGTGTTGTGTGTTGTGTGTTGTGTGTTGTGTGTTGTGTGTTGTGTGTTGTGTGTTGTGTGTTGTGTGTTGTGTGTTGTGTGTTGTGTGTGTGTGTGTGTGTGTGTGTGTGTGTGTGTGTGTGTGTGTGTGTGTGTGGTTGTTCCCCTCCTGAACCTCGTCGCCCGACGACCTGTGGCACAGGTCTCCACGGTGGGCGCTCAGGACGCCCGGGCCCCGGACTCCGGGGGGGGGGGGAGGCCCAGGACGCCTGGGCCCCACTCCAAACCCCTAAAATATAAAGAACAAAAGAAACATCCAACCACTGCTCAAAAATACCCCCCACCCCGAATGCCCCCCAAAAGACCATCAGAATGCCCCCAGCATGCCCCCAGAGTACCGCAAAGGTGCCCCTACCCCTGCCCCCCTGCAGTCCAGGGGGGAGCCCAGGACTCCTGGGCCCCAGACCCCAGACCAATAAAAATACCCTCAAAATGCCCCCAACATGCCCCCAAAGTGCCGCAAAAGCGCCCCTACCCTTACCCCCCCTGGAGTCCAGGGGGGAGCCCAGGACTCCTGGGCCCCAGACTCCAGACACCCCTGAAAATATCTTCAAAATACCCCCAACATGCCCCCAGAGTACTGCCAACGTGCCCATCTACCCCTGCCCCCCCCTGGAACCCAGGGGGGAGCCCAAGACTCCTGGGCCCCAGACTCATACCAGGCGTTGGTAGAACTGGGTTTAGTGGAACTTGGCTTCGTGATCTGTACCAGGGGCGCCCCCCCGCCCCATGTCCACGAACCGGAACTGCCGCCACCCGAGAAAACGCCAGCTATGGCAAGCCTGGTTTGGTGATCCTGGCCCATCCGAAGGCTCCGGGGCCCTACCATCACCCGGGGTCCTGGCCCTACCCGAAAATGCCTGCAAGACTCCCGTCGGCGAGCCGGGACGCCTCGCCGCTGCTCGACGACGCGTCGGGGCGGCCGGGGCACCGGCGGCGCGGCACGGCGGGCCGGGGAGTGCCCGGCCGCAGCCCTCTGGGGCTCCGCGCGGTCCGCAGGCACGAAGGTCGGAGTGGGCGGGGGGGCGGGGGGCCACGCCTCTCTCCTGCAGCCTCGGCTGCCCCCTCTGATGATCATGCCCCTTCTTCTTACTGGTGTGGATTGCTCGTATGATTCACATGCATATTGGTTTGTAGTTCCTCTTAATATGATGATTCTTGTTAATACCAAATTGTTTGTTATTATTTTCTTGTTGTTGTTATGATTACTACGAGTATTGTTTATTATATTATTAGTACTGTTAGTATTGATATTATTACCATTAGTATTCGGATTCTTATTTTTATTACTATTATTATTATTAATATTCGTATTATTATTATTATTATTACTATGATTAGTAGTAGTATTATTATTACTATTACTATTATTATTGTTATTATTATTGGCATTATTATTCTTATCAGTATTATTCTTATTATTAGTATTAATATTAATATTACTATTACTATTACTATTACTATTACGATTACGATTACGATTACGATTACGATTACGATTACGATTACTATTACTATTACTATTACTACGATTATTATTACTATTACTATGACTATGACTTCCACTATTACTATTACTACTACTATCTGACAAAATTGCGTGGTGCGGCTTCCACTCAATGCAATCTCTACTGCCACAACCTCGGCCTCAGATGCTCCTTCACTCATTCGGGCACGCGCAAACGTGCACTACGGGGCATCGTTTTTCCGACCCATATCCCCATGGGCGCGGTCTGCGCCCCACTGGCCGATTTGCCCCCCTAGATGGAGATGCAGGCAGTGTCCTTCGGGTTTCGAAGGGTATGTCCCCAACTGGTGTGCTGAGATGGTGGGGGCCTGCATCGGCGGTGGTCGAACCTCCCCGGAGTGAAAACGGCCTGGGACCGAAACCGACGGACCTGGACCCGCAAAAATGACGACCGCGACGCCCCCTCGCGGACCGAAAACGGCCAATCCCACCAGCCCTCTGGGCGTCGGTGGTTTAACGAGTTTCCTTTTCCACCCCTCCCTCTTCCCCCTTCGGGGAGGGGTCCTCCCCCTACCCCCTCCCCACTGACCTGGACAGGGGGTTCCGCGGCGCGTTGGAGCGCCCAAAATCGACCCCTGGGAGGGCTAAAATTCGACACCCCTCACGAGGATCGTGGCTCCTGAGGGGGGGGCTGTAATTAGGGAGCCCCCCTTCGTTGATCGATCTCCTCCAAGATGGCTCCGAGGCCCCCCAAGAGGCCCCCAGGAGGCCCCCAAGAGACCCCCAAGAGGCCCCAAGAGACCCCCCAGAGGCACCCAAGAAGCGCCCAGGAGGCCCCAAGAAGCGCCCAGGAGGCCCCCAAAGGCCCCAAGATGGCCCCAAGAGGCCCCAAGAGGCCCCCAGGAGGCCCCAAAGAGGATCCCGAACGGCCCACA